GTTATTGTTTATCTTACCTACTGGATACCTTATGTAGGTCGTGGAAAACGTGCCTCTCCACACCTACCAGTGCAAACCACTCTTGGTAAAGGATGTGTCAATTTACAATAATTCTTCTAAAGATTAAATGCATTACTTTCATTAAGAAATGGAAAGCCCATGCTTGCAAGTACTAACCTTTCTTGTAAGCATGAATGAAAGTACATTTTGACCAATACATTCAGTCTGACTACGTATATCTGCCATACCATTGACTCGCAAAAAAACACATCTAACAACATTTTAAAAGATATATTGTAGCATACAGATGATCACAAAAAAAGATCCCTGCTACAATCGTTAACATAACTCCTACCACCATCTTAACCTCAGTCTTGGAAAACATATACACACACACTATCTCCGTTTTACTGAGTTTTCCAGGTTGAGTTTCTAGACCACCAGTGCTCTCTTATTATACACCAAGCAGACATGATAAAGAATTCCCCCTACCCCAAGGAATGGTACTGAGAACATCTGTAGACCGATAGCTCATCAATGAGGAGTCTCTGAGTAGTGCAAATAGTTAAGTGCTCCACTGCTATCAGAAACTGTCGTTCAGACCTATGCAGAGGCACCTCAGAAGACAGGCTTGGAAGCCATCTGTTCCCAAAATGTCACAGTTTGAAGACCCTCTGGAGCAGTCCTACTCTGTAGACATGGGTCACCATGAGGAGCAATTCATCGTCAAGAGGAAGGGGATTTGTTGTATTTTTAAGAAGGATTAGTTAAATTGCATGTATATATAAAATGGAACCTGAGACTAGAAAAAGTTTACAAATTTAATCAAAGTAAACTGAAGAAAAAGGAAACAAAATATAGCTACAAGAGAGAAAGGAACTATGTAGAGAGGAAGTAATACAAGAACAGTTATAAAGCACCACCAAAGAGTGAAATTTTGAATTTAAGTGTATCTACAGTCTTATATCCTCTTTGAAGACATAGCCCTGAAACACTATATTCTCTTTTGTCCTTACATTTATTAATATGGGGTGTGAAATTGTTATTGCATGGAATAACATTAAGTGACTGAAAGTTCTCTCCGCAGTTTACTCAATAGGCTTATGATAACTTCCTACTTTCCTTTTTAAGGTATTGAAAGCACACTGCCTCCATAAAATTTGAGCCCTATTCTTAGTTTTGTTGGTTTTACTAGCCTATATGTTTGTTGCAAGGCCAGGTTTGTAATTTGGTTATGTTTCCCTGGGAAAGGCTCGCAAAAATACAGCTTGCGGTTTTATAACAATAAAGCAGAGAGTGCTTTGGTGCCTCTTGAAATACCAATTCTTTCTAAGTAGTCCTTTAATTTGAGATTAATGTACTGAGTTCATTAAATTTAAAGTGATACTAAATAACGCTATTGCTTGAAGCTATGTACAACCCTTTCAAATTCTATGAATATAAGCCAGAGGATTTAATAAAAATTATTATTTTATCATGAGACTTTCCTATGATGTTGTTTTTAAATGCCTTTGAGTCTGTTCTGACTCATAGAGACCCCGTATAGGGTTTCCAAGGAGCAACTGGTGGGTTTGAATCACCAACCTGTGGTTTGTAGTCCAGTGCTTATCCTACAGCAACACACCAGGACACCTATGTTAGAATTTCTAGTTAAAAATTATTTACAAATGAAGAAACAAAAAATAGTGGTAAAGACTTTGTTTTTCAAATCCAAAGGTCTCGGAATTATACAGTATCATTTACATATGAGCCTGTTCTGGTGAATACTGTTGTAGGAGCACTTCACTTTTCCATCAAGTCTGTGGCTACTCATCCTTCTATTCCCATCTATTTGGAGCTTTGTCTCAGCATTGAGTTCCAATTGTCTCAACCCATCACCCCCAAACTACGTTCCCCAATCTTGTTCCCATGGTACATTTAGCTAGTTCAGTCATTAATTTGTTCGTATTTATTTTTAAAGTCACACTTAAACACCTCCTAGCACAGGGAGTAATCCATCGTATGACTGCACTTTCCACACGTTAACAGACACGTAAAAGCAACCCCTCACCCACCTTAATCATCTGCTGCAATACATAAGCCGTGTTACTCTTCAGTTCTCTATTTCCCATGGTCTACTTTCTCTAGTGCCAACAAAAAGCCGCAAAACCGTTCTGATTGGTTCTGCTAAAATTCATGCATTCCAGCCTAATCCAAACCCTCGTGGCCACATAAAGCTTTATGTGGTTTTTGCTGCTCTTCACATTCCTTATCGTGGCATTTCCAGAGTTTCTTTACTTTTCTCAAGCTCCGAGCCCCACCTTTGCCTCCATCCTTCAGGTGTCCAGGAGGTGATTCACGTTGCATTAACAGGAGTAATTTTCTGATGTGAGTTATGTTTGTTGGGATTCCTTCTGTACTCACCCTTTCCATCTTCCATCACTTCTTTCTCTTGAAAAGGAAAGCTGCTGCTGTTTTGCCAATTTGACCATTCCATGTGTGGTTTTTTTTTCCCGTCATCATATTTTTCCATCAGTTTCACTGGTGGTCACTGCTATCCCTTGCAACTTCAGTCTCCCCTGTTCAACAAGCTCATTATCCACTGCTTTAAAATCGTCCTCAGACACTCCATAATGCCAAAAAGATACTGTTAGGTGTCTTCGTCTCCTCCCACCCCCCACTCCCCCCCCACTTTTTTTTTTTTTTTCCTTTCTAAAAAACCTTCCAACTCTTTGAAAGCATTACTCTTTAAAAATATTGCTCATTTTCTGAGCATGTACTATTTAGTTCTTTTTTAACTCTCTGTTTTGGCATCTGGTCTGTCTACATGATGAAAATTATTTTCTAAAGGCCATCAATGAGACCTTTAAAGCAACAACTGTATCCACTGATTCATTTAGTCATTCGTTTTCACGCAGAACATATTTATTTGGTGCTTATTATACATGAATTAGGAGTCCTGGTGTGGTGTTTTAGAATCAGCACTGGACTGCTAACCACAAGGTTGGTGGTTCAAACCTTTCAGTGGCTCCCTGAAAACCCTAACAGGGTCACTCTGAGTCAGTCAAAACTGACTCGACAGCACTTAACAATTTGCTAGAGTCTAGTGTTATGCTTTAAAAAGATACAATCCTTTCAGTCAGAAAGTTTATATTTTAGGTATGGAGACAAACAAGTGAGTAAGCTCTGTTATATAGTTAAAGAGTTATAAGGAGCTCTGGATAAGGCACTATGAATATAAGAGAAGCAGTGCTGAATTCAGCCTTTAGGTGATCATGAAAGCTTTTGTGAAGAGAGGTTTTGCTTAAAAGAAAATGAATCCATGTTCAGGTTAAGAAGAGAGGGACAACATTCTGAGCATTTCTTTCAGAAAGACACTTAAATTTCTATATGCTTTTGGTTATCTGTAAGTTTAACAAGCATACAGTAGAGAAATTAAGGAACTAGACAGAGATGAACCCATGGAGCAGGCTTTTTACCTGGATTGGCTTTCTATTTAAAAAAAAAATTTTTTTTAATCTAGGACTTCAAAATGTGAAGAAACACTGCTATTAGGATAGTCAGTGACCAGCGTTTGAAAGGCTGTGAATACTAAGCTAAAAAGGTTTCTAATTGTATGTGAAGACTCTAGTTAAGAAGTACAGTGACATGCTTCAGTGGTCATTTCAGTTCAAAGCTTGCTCTCTGTACTGGGTGCTTTATTAAGAGGCCCAGCCCTGGGGAGAAGGGGAAGCTGGGAAACTCTGCAGTAGTCTAGGCATGAGATACTGGTGAGCCATCCTAGCAACAGTGTGGTGCATGAAGAAGAGAGGACAGATCAGAACTAGTTAGAAGGTAGATTTCAGACTGCAGTCCACACTTGGTTCCTGGGGCCATTCTGCTCTGTCTTGTAGGATTCATATGACTTGGAATCATCTTGAGTCCGTTTTTTTTGTTTGTTTGTTTTGATAGCACCCAGAGCCCTGGTAGCATAGTGAGTTACGAGTTGGGCTGTTAACCAAAAGATCAGCTGTTCTGATCTACCAGCACTTTCATGGGAGATAGATGAGATTTTCTGCTCCTGTAAAGGAGCTCTGGTAGCGTAGTGGTTATGAATCGGGCTGCGAACCTTAAGGTCAACAGTTTGAAACTACCAGCCACTCCACAGGAGGAAGATGAGGTTTTCTGCTCCCGTAAAGATTTACAGCCTTGGAAACCCTGTACAGAGTCGCTATGGGTCGGAACCGACTCGACGGCACAAAACAACAACAACAAAGATTTGCAGCCTCAGAAATCCTGTACAGGGTTGCTATGAGTTGAAACTGACTCAAAGGCATATAACCACCACCACAACCACCCTGTAATAGATGGGGTCACCAAGAGTCAGAATTGACTCAAGGGCAATGAGTTTCTTTTGGAGTCCTGGTGTAGCAATGGCTAACCGCAAGGCAGGTGGTTCAAACCTACCAACTGCTCCTTGGTAACCCTATAGAGGTCATTATGGGTCAGAACTAATTCGACAACAATACAGACAAGTAAGCATTCAAAAGCTAGCTGTTGATGATGCTTATCAGTATCCACTGTGGTGTAGATGTACCCCGAAAATCTTACCAAACACAGTTCTACTCTGACATATGATTTGAAGTCAACTCAATGGCAACTCGTTGTGTTCTAAGAGCTTTATTGTTATTAATTTATTTAATGTTCAAGCAACCCTCTAAGGAATGCACTTCATTTTTATTCCCACTTTGCAGATAAAGAAATAACACCAAAGTAGGTTATATTACTTTCCTAAGGTCCTACATCTAGCAAGTAATGAAGCTGAGATTCAAAATTAGGAAGTATGATTCAAGAGTCCATACTCTTAGCCAGATCCCAAAGTGCCTCAAAATTGAAATCATGTTTTTTATTGCAGTCTAGTGTTTGGCAGATTTAAAGCAATATATAGAATGTTCTTGTTTCGTAAGATTAGATGTGACAATTTATTTTTGTGGAACAGCCAATGAATTTGCTTTGTACTGTTTTTGTTTTAATCATTTTAGAACCAGTTCGAAGATATAAAACTTGCCACAATGATGTCTTTAGTACGTCCAGTGAAAGTCCATCTATAATTTCCTCGGAAACAGATTTCAGACAAGGTGAGGATCATCTGAAACAAACAGGATGCTGTTTTTGAGAAGCCACAATTGCTGTTGTGGTCTGAATTGTGTTGCAACATAAATAAGTTAGCAACAAAAATAAGTCTGTATATATTTTTTAAATTACTAAAAGCTACCAATGCTTTATTTTAACAGCATTGTTGTTGTTGTTGTTGTTGTTGTTGTTAAGTACCATAGAATCAGTTCCAACTCTTAGTGACCCCGAACACGGTTTCTGAGACTGTAAATCTTTACAGGCACAGAAAGCCTCATCTTTCTCCCACAGAATGTCTGGTAGTTTTGAACTGCCAACATTGAGGTTTGCAGCCCGATTCATAGCCACTACGCTACTAGAGCAGGAACATAAAATCAGTGTCGTCCAACAACTTTATCATTATTTTTATCATAGAAAAAATAATCCATTGTCCTTAAAAATGATGATGATTTAGATCAAAAGAGTTTAATAACATAACTATAATTTGGTTATACAAATACGATTTATAAAAATGATCTCTACTAAAAGCATAAGTTTTAAACAAGATTACTTCATGTTTCTATTGCCTATGTCATTATTCCATTTTCATTCACAATCAGTGAGAAGAAGTGAAGCTTCAAAGAGATTTGAATCCAGTAGTGATCTCCCAGGGGTAGATGAAATCCCAAACCAAGGCCAATCACAAAGACCAAGGTATGTAATATGAAAAAGTAGTAAAAACATATTTCTAGTGGCAGGTTTATTAGATTCAAGGAGAATTTTATTTTTATTACTCTCTTTCTTCATGTTCTCCATCTTTCTCCTAGCTATCCTTCACTTTAAGATCTCACAAATTAATTCAGGTATGCAAAAGAGATTTTCATAGTTGGGTTTCTAGATACAGGTAGTCCCTGGGTGTTACGAACATCCAATTTATGTACAACCCATAATTATGAACTAACATCCATAAAGCTTGCTATATTCAAAGTTCAACGTACATAGGGGCAAGAGGTAGAGTGCAGCTTTGTCTAGCCCATTGCATGCCTGGCCTGGGTCTCCACCTGGAGGACATGCTAGCAGGTTGGTCCCTGGGGAACCAAGGAATGCAAACATTTGATCCAGAGTTAAAAGTCTGAACTGGACTGCTGAGGCTGTCATGTACAAGGATTCTCGGACCAAGTGAAAGGGAAGCAGAACCATGGTGCCGGCAATTAAATTTAAAAAAAAAAAAAATCATAGAACCAAAAAATGATGTTCTGTAAGCACTTTTATTTCTGTACTCTCTTTTTGTTTCAACCCTTAACTTATTAATAAAAGTGTCTTGAAAAACAAAAAGTCAAGGTACATAACTCTGGCTTGATAGTTTGGAATAACAAATAGGAACTACTTTGTGACACACATTAAAACATTATTGTAATTATTGCTGTACTGTGGTAAGCATGTTTTCATGTATGTGGAATTGTTTCTTCAATGTTTTATATGCATAAAAGATACACTGAATATTATGTACTAAGACTAACACTTGACTAACTGAGGTTAGGTATCAACTGTGTGCAAACTCGACTTAAAGACGTATTTAGAAATGGAACTTATTCATAATCTGGGGACTTCCTATATTAGAATATTTCAATATCTGGATTGGCTCTGGTTATTTTAGTTTGTACTTCATTTTTTAAATTGCCAACTTGAATATAAAATTGCTTATTAATAGAAAGGTAAAGGCATGACATTAAAAATCTCCATGAAGATAGATAGGTTGCTTTTTAAGAGGGCAGTACTTCTTTCAGAAAATTACAACACAGCCTCAACCAACAGACTTTTAATAATCATTTTTTGTTGAATGAGTAATGAATAGGTATTACTAACTAACCTGTTTTTCTTAAAGTTAATCATTCACTAAATCTCAAAAAGAAGTTGTCTTTTATTTTTATTTTGTTTTTTAATGTTTTTATTGTAAACTATGTGATAGTTTACATGGGAGAATATTACCTTTACATTTATCCTATCGTATATTGTTACATTGCCTTGGTTACAATCCCTTCCATACGTCATCAACCAACCAAATGGTACACCCCACAAACCTGTCCCCTGGTCGTCGGCACACAGCCCCTCTCCCTCTCTGGGTCTAGAGTCCCCAGCCGCTCCATCTCCCCGCATCATCGTCTCTGCCTCCATCTCTGGCGTCACTGCTTTTCTGGGTAGGGTCCCGCTCCCTCTGCTCCTAGACAGCAAAGTTAATCATTCCCCTCCTTGCTACAAAACATCTACCTTTACATTTCCAACCCTCACAATCAGTCCTGATAACAGTTATTCACTATTGTATCACAAGAGACCTATCCGCATTTCATTTCATCAGCCCCACCTAGACAGATTGGATACTACTCAGTGGAGATTTTACCTTCCTCCACACCCTCTAGTTCTAGGTTCCCTCTTGAAAGCTTGTAAGCCAATCACTTTGTCTTTGTAGCCCCCCCATTTTGGGTAGCCAATGTCCAAGTTGCCCATCCCTGCCTACACTGTGTATGGAGGAGGTGGGAACGATCCTTGCTGTAAAGATTTGTTCCCTCTTTTGAACTATTGCATCAATAGGTGTAGGTCAAGTTCATCAAAGTGTATCAGATTACTCTTTTTTACCTCTTCTTTCTTCTAGTTGAGCTCTGACCATCCAATCATTGAAGCCAGGTCAAGTGGGTATTATCTGCAAGTATGGGTGTTCTTGTGCATTTGCCTTCTCTTCTTATCAGCAAAATGCTTCACTCTCCACTCTAGTCTTCTGTGGCTGTGCCACTAACTCTGGGCCAAAAAGTCCCAGGTCTTGCCAAACTGCTGGCCAGCCAGGTCTCCACCCGGTTTCACAGGAGTCTATTGAATGTTGTAGGGCTTAGCTTGCATCTTCATTGCTGGTTTTCCCTAACTTCCCCTTATCGGTGACAAATGTGGTCACCAATCAGAGCGTGTATTCCTATTGAGTCTTAGTCTTGGAAGGGTGTTTGCTCTGAGGGGACCCGACCACTTGCTTGATGTCTCCTGGATGAGCAACTTGCTTGTTCTTGTAGTAATCAGTCGGTCTGCCTATACTGTTTTGTATTTTTCCTGTCAGGCTTTCTTTCAAGAGGTATCTTCTGTTCTTCTAGCCACTCCAGGCTGGTCTGCCCATCCTTTCAAGTGGAAATTTCCCAACTCTGAAGTTTCTGAATGCAGTTCAGGATTCCGTCTGTAGTTTTATGTAATGCAAAGGCTCCACAGGAAGCCTCTTTCACGGGGCACATTGTAGCCCCATTTTAGGTATTCCAATCAGTCATAGGCAGAAGATGGACTTATATTTCTGGCTGTTTCTTTCTCCACCTCCAGTGTCTATTTTATAATGGTATGCAAGGGAAACCAAGATTCAAAAGACAGCCAAGTATACATTGTTTCCCCTCTTTTCCCCATTGCAACCATGTCTCAATCCCTGTATCCCAGAGCCCTGTTGTTCCAAGATTGTGCATACATCATTCTTTACCTCTGTCCCACTTAGCCTGTGCAAACTTGCCTAATTGTTCTCTCATCCGCTTTGTTCTTCCATTCCCCTCACCCTTTTTGTATATTGCCCCCCTCCCCAGCACTCAAACTATCCTGTGTCTATTCCCTGCCCTGTGCTCTACCTTCCCCTCCCTCCCCTCACCCCACTCCCCACATCCCAGCAACCAGCAAAGCGTACTCCCCCCCACCCACTTTAGTATGGGTTCTTTTTCTTAGTCTTTTATAGTAGTGGTCCTTTTGCAGTTATTTCTCCTTTTGTGACTGACTAATTTCATCCAACATAATGTCCTCAAGGTTCATCCATGTTATACGGTGGCTTGCAGCTTCCTTGTTATTCTTCAAGGTAGCATAGTATTCCATTGTGTGTATGTGCAAGTTTGTTTATCCATTCTTCAGTTGATGGGTACTTTGGCTGTCTCCATCTTTTTGATATTGTAAATAGTGCTGCTATGAACATTGGTATGACTTTTATTTTTTTAAATGCCAGATTTGCGTTATATTTATAGTATTTTCATATGAAATTGCTTTGCTTTCTTTAAAGCTTTAGTATTATTCTTGTGCAGGCTCAAAACAGTGTTATCACAGCTATGCATTGATTGACTTTGCTTAAACTGAGGAACGTCAGTAGTGAATATGTTACTATGCATCCTTTTCATGTATGTACATGTCCTGTACATGAATAAGATTGCTAATCCTAAATAATCTGAAATTTGTTTTGTAATATCAAGGAGCCAGGCTATCGTCCCAAAATAGTAAGAATTTTTTTAAAATTTGGTATCTCGATTAATTTAATTTAAATGCCACCATATAGGAAAATACCACTTGGAAATTAACACAAATTTTTCCTTCAGCTCATGTATTCTGGCAGATACTATTTCACACTTGTAAACCATTAATAGACCAAGAAATTAACCATATGACTAAAACGGGCCATTTATCCAGTGTTTAGAAGCCAAGTAATTAAATACATTGCACTAAAATTATTCCATAATTAATGAACTTGTTTTTATTACAGTTACTTTTTTCTCTTCTTGTGCTTTAAATAGTGCATTAATTTTTTTTATTTTTTAAATGAGAAAAGGCTTAATATGCATTCATTTACTTAATGAATACTAAAATAAACACTTCATTTTATCGATGTTTTGTATTGATCCCATTTTGGTAATTCATAATAAAGGTGATGGACATGTTTTATGAAGTACAGGCATTTGGAGATGAACAGCAGTAAGAAGTCAGTATTATACTAAGTTCAGTGCTTAATGTAGGGAGAATTTATTTTAAATCCTACTGTTCTCGATATATCTAATTTGAAAGCCTATGAATAGTTAATATTCATTTTATAGCTTGATGGAAAATGGGATTAGAGAAAGCAATTGGAAATATATTGGAATTATGTTTTAACAGTTGATTGATTTACAGTGAATTTATTGGTTCACTGCTTATTTGAACACATATTCTTCTAAAAGGCAAATCATTTTCTGGGCCTTATTTCCATTTTGTTGATAACAAATCTCAACATTTTGAGAGAATCTTAATTTTTATTTTTGCCATGTTTAAAGGAATCATAAATATTCAAGCCAATTTAACTTAACAAATATTAATTCTGTGGAAGGGAAAAACACTGTAGTGTTTATGGCATCTGAATTATATATAGATATTGGGGAAATAATTTGTTAAGAAAGGTGGATTGTTGGGGTGTGTGCATTATTTTTAATGTGAGAGAATAAATTCTACAGTTCAATCTCCCTTTCCTTCCCACAGAAATACATATTAACTAAGACACTGTCTAAATTTCTTATTCAAGTGCAGAATTTTCTAAATGTGTACAAAGGTTTTTTGGTAATAGCTGTAACATATCACTACACAATCAGGAGGCCTTGTTTTGTTCTTTAGGTCACATATTTGTGAGCTCTATAAATAGTGCAATATTTATACATGTTGCATGCTTCTTTATAAAAATTTCCATTCCCTTTAGCTAGAATAAAACTACAAAACAGATCCACACAGTACTATTGATTTCTATCATGGGAGTGGGGTAAGATTAACAGGAAATTATGAGTAAGATGCAATAGAATGAGTAATTTTCAGAATCTGAGCTATCAAAAGTACCTTTCATTGATCAAAAAGGATATTCAAAGATGTTTTCCAAAGAGTAAGCCTTTTATGTGATAACTTTTGAAGTTTGATTTATACATTCCCACTGCCTCTGGGTCTGTCTTTTTAACAAGATAACTTTGTTTTCCTGATCCCAAACAACTTATTTGTTCCAAATGATCCAGACTTTCTGGGATTTTGTGGGGAGGTTTTGCCTCTCAAACTATATGAATTTCTACCAGATATTATTTTTGTTGTTGTTGTTAAGTGTCGTTGAGTCGATTCTGACCCTTAGCGACCCTGTATAAGGTTTCCAAGGAGCAGCTGGTGAACTTGAACCACTGACCTTGCAGTTCAAACGGCTTTGCAGTCTCGCACATTAACCCACAGCAGGATATTATTTTGGGAGAGCTAAAATGATAATTAGTAGTTTTTATTCTATCTGTTAGTATCTGTAAATTAATATAATTTGATCAAGAAGGCTAATAGAGTTGCTAAAATTAAATTTTAAGTTAAAATATATGGATTAAAATTATTATCATAACCATTGATTTCAGTAAGTGAGAGTGTGTCAGAAAATTATACTAAGTTTTCAACAAAGATTTACTGAGCTCTTTACCATGTGTTAGGTACTTTTAGGCACTGGAGGTAGTTTGTGAACAGGTTAGAGAAAGTATCTTAAGGCATTTTCTAGAACTGAGAGACAATAAACCAGAAAAAAAGTAGATAATAGAATGTCAATGATGGCGCCTTGAAGAAAAATAAAGCCCAGGGTAAGGGGTGGCTTGTGTGATACTAGAAGCAATACCACCGGTATTTTAAATACCAGCAGGGTCACCCATGGTTGGCAGGTTTCAGCTGAGCTTCCAGACTAAGACAGACTAGGAAGATGGAGAGACAAAGACTACTTGTAAACGTGTTCAGCCACTGGAAAACCTTATGAAAAGTAGTAGAACACTGTCAGCACCAGAATATTGAATATGAAAACATTATGAATAGCTTCAGAATAGTACCACATATAGTGCCAGAAGATGAGTCCCTCAGGTTGCAAGGCACTCAAAATACAACTTGGGAATCTCTGTCTCCTCAAAGTAGAGTTGACTGTGATGACACAAATCGAGTAAAGCTTTCTGGACTTTCATTGGCTGATGGGGCACAACTCAAATTGAGGAGGAACAAGCTGTAAACGTCCATTAACAATTAGAACATGGAACATATGAAGTCTGAATATAGGAAAATTAGAAGTTTCTAAAAAGGAAATGGAACACATAAACATTGTTATCCTGGGCATTAGTGAGCAGAGGTGGACTGGTATTGGTCATTTTGAATCTGACAAATTGAAGAGGAATGACATCACATTCATCATTAAAAAGGACATTTCAAGATCTATTCTTGAAGTATAATGCTGTCTGTGACAGGACCATATCCAGGCACCTAAAAGGAACCAGTTAATACCACTGTTAGTCAAATTTATGAACCCCTAAAGCCATTGATGATGAAACTGAAGAATTCTACCAACTTCTTCGGTCTGAAGTTGATCAAACATGCAGTCATGATATGTTGATAATTTCCTGTGACTGGAATGCAAAGGTTGTAAACAAAGAGGAAGTATCGGTAGTTGGAAACAATGGCCTTGATGATAGAAATGATGCTGGAGATCCCATGATAGAATTTTATTTCAGACAGGTTAAGATATAAGAGGGGATTTCAGAAGGTTCATGGTGGCCACAGAAAAGAGCGGGAGCAGTTTAAGATGTGCTGCCTGGCCATGCCGACCCTTCTTACAGGACCTGGCCCAGGCCTCATACACAGGACATCTCAGTCCTGGATCCTCCACAGCGACTCAGTGGAGGCCACTATAAGTATGTGAACATGCAGGAGACCGAGATGGACATGAAGTCAGTGACTGACCTGGCAGTTCACACCCTGCTCTGGACAAAGCTGGCCCCCGACCTGGACAAGACCCAGAGCTACTTCTTCTGAAAGCCATTTGAGAAGAACCAGCTGAGCCTCCACGTTTGCCATCCACAATCCTGCTGTGTAATAAAAGCTTTCCGAACCCACAAAGGAAAAAGTTAATAGAAAAATTTCACTATCTTCTAATTCAATTTTTTTCACAAACTTTCTGAAGCCCTCTAATATATAACATTTAAGTAAAGCACTCACCTAGGCAGATGAGTAGAATTCTACTTCAGGAGAGAAGCCAGAGTTGCTAATATAGATTTCTAAGCTACTAGAATCTATCATGTATTTAAAAACATGTATGTAAAACATAAAATATAAAAACATGTATTTAAAAATATATGTAGGTATAGAGAAGAGTATATGTGGAGTCTAGAAAAATTTAGAGGCCTAAGCACGTTGGTTATCTAATGTTTAAAACCCGAAACTTGTTGCAGTTGCGTCCATTCTAACTCATGTCAACACTGTAGGACAGAGTAGAACTGCCTTGCACCGTCCCATATGGTTTCCAAGACAGTAACCTTTACAGAAGCATATTCCCACATCTTTCTCTAATAGAGCAGCTGGTGGGTTCAAACCCCTGACCTTTGGTTAGCTGCCAAGTACTTAGCCACTGCCCCACCAGTATTCTTTAATCTATTATTAAGAGGTTAGAAATAAACAAGAAACTAACAAAGACGATTAAGAAGATTTAAATCTTCACTAGCAGAAAGCCTCATAGTTCTCCCTCAGTGTGAATGTCAGGCTCGAACTGAGGACCTTGTTTGTGGCTTGCAGTCCAGTGCTTATTGCATGGAGCCAGCCTGCTCTGAAAGGAGTAATAGTGGAGAAAAAGACTGAGAAGCGCTTAAATCTGTAATGACTTAGGGGGAATGACCCAAAGAACAGTAAATGTCTAGAACAAAGTAGAGTAGTGGTTGGTAGGATTTCATGGCATGTGTTTCAGAGGAGCTGGAAGTTACTGAAAATGGGAACAAGAAAGGTCAAAAAATTGAAATAAGTGTTGAGAGTCTCTGTGCCCCCTCTAAGGCTAGTGGTACAGGTCTATAGGAATTAAACAGCCCCTGTTTGAGAGAAATGTACTGCTTGTAGTTTTCAGCAGCCAGCTGGAATGTTCCGAGAGTAGGCAGGAGTTATAGGTCTACCAGGAGTCCTGGTGTGGCACTGTGGGCTAATGTGCTATACAGGGTCATTATGGGTTGGAACCAACTTGACGGCACTTAACAACAACAATAACATAGGTCTGCCCACTAAAAATATGACAACATACAGCATCATGGAGTCCTAGTGTGGCGCTGCAGGATAATGCACTGGACCTAAAGGTCAGTATGAACTACAAGGTGGGCAGTTCAAACCTCACCAGCCACTCCTCAGAAACCCTATACAGGGTCGCTATGAATCAGAACCAACTCAACAGAACATAACAACAAACAACAACAGCTAAAAATATGACAACATACAGCATCACTAATTAGTAGTGCAAGGAGTCTTCTGAAAGGAAAGAATGAAATGTGTGTTTAAACATCTTTTAACGTAGTGATTTACTCTTTACCCTTAAAATGATTATTTTCTTCCTGACACTTTTCTCTTCTTTTTTATATAATAGACAATATGAAACACCCCTAGAAGGCAACTTGATTAATCAAGAGATCATGCTAAAACGGCAAGAAGAAGAAATGATGCAGCTGCAAGCCAGAATGGCCTTGAGACAGTCTCGTTTAAGTCTGTTTCCTGGAGACACAATCAAAGCTTCTATGCTTGACATCACCAGAGATCCCTTAAGAGAAATGGCCTTAGAAACAGCTATGACCCAAAGAAAACTTAGGGTAAGTTGATTCTTCATCTAGATTTGGTCTTACAGTTAACTACTAAGCAAAGTACTTGAAAAATAAAATTGCTAAAAATATCCTAAAGTTGCCTGTAGATGAAATTGAGATTCCGTGTTAGTTTCCGTTGGGAGTAACTATCTTATTAGTTGATAGTAAAATATTTAGCTGTTTCCATTATTTCATTAAAAAAATAACTTTGCTGTTGATGTGTGCCATCAAGTCAATTCTGACTTACTGCAACCCTATATGATGGAATAGAATGGTCCCACTGATGATTTTACAGTCTACAAATCCTATACTTCCTTTCATTTCAATGATTGCAATTCCCTTAATTAACATCATTTACCCCACTTCCTGCTTGTGAATTGCATTTCTATTCATCCTTTTATCCTAACCCTTCTGAAGTCTGTCCTTTGGTAAATGCTGCCCTTTTGATCTCACATGGGTGACCATTCTGTTTGTGCATTTGTCTCTTGTCCACCCTTCTGTGTACCTACGGACTGCTTGGCTGAAAACTGAGCTATGAGGATGAGTTCAGTTTCAGATTTGAAGGGTGACATAAAGCCATGGTCTCTTTCTGACCAGTAAGCCTGGACTTTTTTTTTGTACATGATTTTGAGTTTGTTCCGCATTATCCAGGACATTCTAATGTGATCCCTTTCAGAGTAGTGGCACCTTCTAGTTCTTGTCATCCTAGGATCGTAAAGACTGGTGTTCACTCGTTCCATTAGTCCACTGGACTAGTCCTTTAAGAGTCTTCCATTTTTATCATTCTTCTTTCCTCTTTACAGGGAGAGACTAATAGTGGTACCTTAAATGGCCACTTTTGAGCTTTGAAGACTTCAGTCACTACTCACCAAAATAGGTTGTAGAATATTATAGAGGACTGTGTTATGCAAATTGACCATGGTGTCCCCCCACTATGATCCTGAGTTCCCAAGTCTAACAATTCATTCCCTCAAGGTGTTTAGTAATGTCTAAGAAATTTTCATAATTTTTCCCCTGTGTGTGCCACCATGCTCATGAATCTGTTTGCAGCAGTGTATAGCATTTAGGTAGTTTACATATTTTTACTATTATAAACAGTACTGTGATAAACATGGGTTGCATATATCTGTTTGTGTCACAGTTCTTACTTCTCGAGTATATAGATGTATGTTGTTCAGTGCTGTGGAGTTGGTTCTAATTCATAGCAAAAATGAATAAGGTTTTTGTGGAGTGGCTGGTGAGCTTGAACCACCAACCTTGTGGTTCAAACCGACCTTGCAGTCCAGCGCATTTACCCACAGGGCCACATCAGGACTCCAGATATGGTATTTCTATTTCCAACTGTTTGAAGACGTACCATACCATACTTTTTACGCATCATATACCATTGTACAATTCCACCAGCAGTGCAGAAGGGTCCCAGTCTCTCTACATCCTTACCAGCATTTGTTGCCCTCTGTTGTTTTTTGTATTTTGTTTTAAAGTTTGCTTGTAATGTTGGGGGTGAGATGATATCTCATAGTTGTTTTGATATGCATCTCTACTGATGTGGTGTGGCACTGTGGGATAACGCACAGAACTGCAGGGTCAGTTTGAACTGCAAGGTCAGCAGTTCACATTCACCAGCCACTACTTGGAAACCCTATACAGGGTTGCTATGAATAAAAATTGACTCCATGGCACTTAACAACAATAGTTAATTATCATGAGTATTTCTTCCATAAGTTCTATGGCTGAATGTCTTTGCTGAAGTTTCAGTTCATGTTCCTTGCCCATTTTTTAATTGGATTTTGTGTGCTTTTTTTTTTTAGGTGTTAATTTTTTAAAAATTTTAGCTATTAGTCCCTTGTCTGATATGTCATTGTCAAAAATGTATTGCCCAATCTGTGAGTTCTCTTTTAACTCTTTTGGCAAAAATCTTTTTTATGTGCATACATGTCTCATTTTCAGGGATCCTGGTGATCTATTTTGTCTTCTGCTGTTTGTTTCCCGTTATGTTTGATGTATATGCTAGGCTGTCATCTTTACAGAGCAGGTCTGTCTTAGCTATTTTTTTTTTTTTTTTTTTAGTCTTTTATTGTGAATTATGTGATAGTTTACTTGGGAGAACATTAGCTTTACATTCAGCCCATCGTATATCATTTCATTGCCATGGTTACAATCCCCTCCATGCATCATCAACCAACCAAAGGGTATACCCAGCAAGCCTGCCCCCCTGATCATCAGCACACAGCCCCTTTCCCTCTCTGGATCTAAAGTCCCCAGCCACTCCATTTCTCCACGTCATCGTCTCAGCCTCCATCTCTGGCATCATTGCTTCTCTGGGTAAGGTCCTGCACTCTGCTCTTCTCCCTTGATGGTCCCAGGGACCTCCACTACTGGACTGCAAAGTCAACCACTCCCTTCCTTTTGCTACAAAATGTCTACCTTTACATTTCCAACCCTCACAGTCAGTCATGAGAACAATTATTCACTATTATACTCTAAGAGTCCTATCCCTATCTCTTTTCATCAGCCCTGCCCAGACAGATTGGATACTACATAGTGGAGATTCTGCCTTCCTCCACACCCTCTGGATCTAGGCTCCCTCTTGAAAGCTTATAAGCCAGTCACTTCTTGCCTTTGTAGCCCCCCATTTTGGGTAGCCAATGTTCAAGTTGCCCATCCCTGTCTACCCTGTGTATCGACGGGGTGGGAATGATCCTTGTTACAAAGATTTGTTCCCTCTTTTGAGCTACTACATCATAGCTGTAGGTCAAACCCATCAAATTGCATTAGATTACTCTTTTTTTTTTTCCTCTTCTTTCTTCTTCTAGTTGAGTTCTGATCATCCAGCCATTGAAGCCAGGTCAAGTGGGTTTTATCTGCAAGTGTGGGTGTTATTATGCATATGCCCTCACTTCTTATCATTCTATGTATTTTTAAAGTATGATTCATGAGCCTTAAAGTGAACTGACTTCATTCAATATTATGGGGAATTATTATTTAACATTAAGAAATTCATTATTCCACAAACCAGGTAGATCAAGGATAGGAAGATCCAAGGTAACCCTCTAGACAGTGAATTACTTTCTCCCTACACCACCCTTGGTAACCACTACAGAAAGTTTCTTTTCTTATGGAAACCTTTGGGGAAAGTTTTTTGATGAATATGAGTATTTAGTTTACAGGAGGTCCCTGTTTTCTAGTTTATCTTCTGTTGTTTGTACATTTTTAGTTGTGTTTGATAAAAGTGGCATATTGTATTTGGAATAACAATTCCATGATTGAATCAATGTTCTCTCATAAAACAGGAACTTTTTCATTTAAAAAAAGCTCTGTGAATTGAGTGATAGTTTACGTGGGAGAACATCAGTTTTATACTCATCCAGTTGTATTTTGTTTCATTGCAATGATTGCAATCACCTCCACGTATCTCTGGTTAACAGTATGTGCTTTCTATTCCTTCTGTTTTTGATGTACACAGAAACGTTCTGGAATATATAATCATTTAAACAACAAAAGGGCACATTCTGCAAGCCTGCCTCCTAGAACGTAATTTTTAGTTACTTCCCCCTCCCCCTTTTTGGTTCAAACACATTTTAACTTGATCACACACTGTTGTCATTTGTTTTGTTGTTGTTAAGTACCATCCGGTCAATTCTGGCCCATAGCTACCCTGTATAGGGTTTCCAAGAAGAAGCTGGTGAGCGTGAACCACCAACCTTGCAGTTCAAACTGACTTTGGAGTGCAGCTCATTAACCCACAGCACCACACCAGGACTGTTGTCATAGTTGATCTTTATTAGACTCTGCTTTTCACATGGCAGACAGTAAAAAATGATAGCAGTAACTATACCTCCCATATCTCTCTCTGCTCTGCCTGGTGTGATAAGTCATTGCAATGGTCACACAGAATTCAGACCTGTATTCACTGTTATGGGCTTTATTAGGTAGGTTAACAGGTTACAATTCAGGGTCATAGATGTTCAGGGCATAGTTGTTCTAGTTAAGACAACCTCTGCTCAGTCATGGTCATAGTCAGGCCTCTCTTTGCCCCACCAATGCTACAAAAGTCTTTTAGCATTGCTGATAAATGGCCACAGGGGACAGCATTCCACCATAAGTGTCAGCCTAAAGGCACTCAGCTCTAGTTCTGTGAGTCAGTAAAGCTGGCCTCCCCTCCAGTTAAGTGTCTGGAGGCACCCTGCTCTGCAAGCAAGCCTCCTGCCCAGACCGCTCAGCTTTGCTTTGGAAGCCTACTGTTGTGTCATGCTTTGGCTCTTGGTTCTGTTGCTACTGCTTCTCTGGTGTCACAGCATTCTGACCTGCATCCAGAAGGTTCCATGTGCAGGAATCTCAGGTTCCTAAGGATATGTTCTTAAGGAAATGTGTGATGATAGTGAGTTTCCCCACTCATGCTTCAGCAGTATGGTAACATTGACGAATCCCCTCATTAGATTTCA